CCAGCTCCACCGTTGTGCCTCAATGTATGATTTCCATGCCGACTTTGAAAAGCAAATAGTTGATGGACTTTTTGAAGTGGTCACTGACCTTTGTGCCAGTCCGCTGCCCCCTCCTCCTCCTCTCCGAGCGTCGGAATGCTGCAGACTGACACCCCGTGGCGGAGATCTGGGAAGACAACGATGTGCCGGCTGAGGGGAGACCGATCAAGAGCCACTCAAACAATGCCATCCCCTGGCGCCACTAGGGGAACAGTCAAGGACGGGCTAAAACACGTGTAGTCCAACCCCAGGGGCCAATTTAAAGTCTCTGCAGCAGTTGTAATCCCACAGGGAGGTAGAGCAGCAATTCAGGGACAGTTCAGGAAAAACAGGGGAAGTACTGTAAGTACTCACGGATCCAACAGGGTGCCCAGTCTCCCAAAGGACAAGATAGTGTGACACAGGTACCTGCGGGAATCCGGAGTATGCGTGGGGTCTCTCCCTTTGGGCTGGGGTCTCAGGCAGGACTGACGTACGTTCTCCCCTTTTGGGCTGGGGGTCTCAGGTGGCGTGTGCAATCTCCCCTCTTTGGCTGGGGGTCTCAGGCTGGCGTGTGCAATCTCCCCCCTTTGGCTGGGGGTCTCAGGCTGGCATGTGCAGCCTCCCCCTCTGGCTGGGGGTCTCAGGCTGGTGTGTGTGATCTCCCCCCTTTGGGCTGGGGGTCTCAGGCTGGCGTGTGTGATCTCCCCCCTTTGGGCTGGGGGTCTCAGGCTGGCGTATGCTATCTCCCCCTCTGGCTGGGGGTCTTTGGCTGGTCACGAGGGTCCGCCGCAGCTGGGCTCCCTCTGTGACTGCACAGCGGAATGGACGATGGGGGACCCCGGCATCAGCCTTCTTAAGCTGATGCAGGATGCTCTCCGGTCGTCCTGGCAACTGTGGGCAGGCCAGGGCCGGCGTGCCTCGTCGCTCGGCAACAAGGCACGCTCCCTGGACACAGGCCGCGCTTCTCATGCGCACAACCTTTGTCCAGGGACATCTGCAAGCACAGGAACTCTCCGTTCCCGCGCTTTGGATGACGAGGCTGGGTGGCATCAGTCTGATGCCCTGGCCCGGAACATCCGCAGATAGGTGTAAATCTCGCTATCTCAGCTGGCAGGGGCGACAGTGGTGGAGACACTAAACTGCATTTTGGGGACATAAAGCAGAATGCCAGGAAAGGAGATACATTAATTGAATTTGAACTACAAAGCAGGATGACAGTGGGGGGGAACACATTTAATTGAATTTGGGGACATTTGACAGGATGAGGGTGGAGGGGATGCATTGATTAAAGCTGGGAACATTTGGCACAAGAGAGTGGGACATTAATTGAGGATGTGGATTACTGAGGGAGTTAATAATGGCACCTATATTGTGACAATGTCATTTTGCATTTGCCTGTGCCAGGGTCCCAGCTGGTGATTACCCGCCGATGCCTAGTGATTACCAGCGATCACCGACAGGGAGGAGGGCTGCTTTATTTACCAACAGTCCTCCTCCCTGTCAGTTTGGGCACACTGCTCTGGATGGCTGAGCACAGCCATCCAGAGCAGTGTGCTTACAGTGAAGAACACCCACCCCCTAGTAAATCACACAGTTAACCCTTTAATTGCCCCTCATATTAACCCAGTGCCATTAGTACAGTGTCAGTGCTTTTTTTTTTAGCAATGATCACTGTATTGGTGTCACTGGGGATGTCAGTGACATAATGTCAGTTCCCCCCAGTGTCAGAATGCCCGCCACAGTCCTGCTATAAGTCGCTGATTGCCGCCATAAGTCACTGATCGCCACCATTATTAGTATAAAAAACAATTCCAGTATCTATAACACCATCTGTAAACGCTATAACTTTCATGTAAACCAATTAATTTACACATATTGGGATTTTATTAGAAAATTACATGGAGCAGAATACATTTTAGCCTAAATTTATGACGAAATTTGATTTTTAAAATTTTTTTACTGGACATGTTTAATAGCAAAAAGTCGCCACCATTGTTTTTTCCTCAAAATTGTCAGTCATTTTTTTTTTTGAATACCGTAAAAAATAAAAACCGCACAGGCGATCAAATACCACCAAAAGAAACCTCAATTTGTGGGAAAAAAAGGACGTACATTTCATTTGGGTGCAGCGTTGCATGACTGCGCAATTGTCAGTTAAAGTAACGCAGCACTGTAACACAAACGGCTTCTTTAACCACTTCCTGACCGCCCTATAGCAGAAATATTGCCACAGGGTGGCACGGGTGCTCAAAATAATGTATATATACAGGATTCCCGCTCCCGTGGTTTTCACGCCCCTCCCAGATAGCGTCAGATTGCCTGTCAGTACACCAGTAATCACATTTACCCTTAATTGCCAGGAACACGCTCATGCACAATAAACCTCCATTGCTAGTATAGTATCTGAACGGATCAATATTTTTGACCAGATCAGCACTATACCAGCGTTCACATTAGTATACTGTAGTGTCCCCAAAAATGCAGCGTTAGAGGAACCAGCCGCAGCACCTGCCAGCACCTGTGTTTAGCCTCTACGCTTACCCCACTTCCCCCCAGCAAGTGCAGTGTCAGTAGGTCACTGTCACTTGATACATTGCACACAAAACCGCAGTGTTCGCAGGATCAGGTCTGATCTCTGTTAGCACTTGCCGGTAAATTTTGAAGACTCCCATATGCAGCAGAGTGCCAGTACTAGTGCCGCTCTACCTTTTGGTGTACCAGCGGCCTAGTACATCCTGGTCTTTCACATACCAGCACTGTAGTATCTATCACTTGGTGACGTGGCGAGTCCCATAAGTGCAGTAAAAGCTGGTGCGGTGGGCGAGTAGAAGTATTGTACCGCAACCACCAAGAATTCGCACACAGGCCGATATTGCCCCTAGTATCCTTCAGGATGTGCTTGCAAATCCCGATTGGCAGCCCACAAATTCTGCAGCACCTGTACTTCCCCCATTCACTGCCCAACCCAGAATTCAGGTGGAAACAGCAAATTTAACTACTCCCCTTGATTTTTTTTGGAGCTGTTTTTCATGGAAGATCTGTATGCAATTTATATACACAACAATTTATCGCCGCCAACCCAAATTCAAACCTTGTCAGACCATTCATATCGAAACCCATTACGGTTTCCAAATTTAAATTTTTTTGGGGCCTAACCATCAACATGAGCATTACTAAGAAAAAATGAATTGCGGTTGTATTGGTCCACAGACCCAATTCATCATATGTCCGTGTTCTCTGCTGCCATGGCCAGGCATAGATATGAAGTGTTAATGGCATATAACAAACAAAAAGTTGCTTAGAGTTTGTAGTAACAGTCACAAATCAACAGAAGAAAAAAGAAAAAAGGTTCATCGATGAAATGCAGATACATAGAATCTCAGTGCATAACAGTGGATTAGTTAGGAACATCAGACATCGGAGTAGACACATCGGAAATGTAAAGATCCTATGGTTCCCACACTGCTTTAAAAATGGGACAAGACTAGCATGCATAGCAGTAAGGTACTCTATTCTTCTAATCTCAGCAACAACCCTAACCAATTCCGACCGTGTAGGAGGCATAGTGGAAAGCCAATGAATGGGAATGGTTCTCCTGGCCATAGTTAGGACATGAGAAGATAAGAAGTTTCTTGGCAGGTTTAGAGAGGCCCGGAAATGGTAGGCCCAGTAAAAAATGGATGGGATCCAATGAAATGCGGACTCGTAAAAGTAGCCGCAAAAGACTAAGGACCTCTCTCCAGAAAGGTGCAATGTGTTGGCAAAGCCAAAAAAAATGTGTCCCCCCCCCTTTTTTTTTACCTCATATTCCCCCCTACTAACTCACTCTACATCTCTTCTTCTATCTATTCACCTCTCTGACTTCTCTTTATCTCACACCTTTTGTACGCTTTCAACATTCATATATCCCCAACAAAATAAAGCATTTAATCTCTCATATAGGTGTGACTAATTTCACGTGGATCACACGCTCCCGAAATGGGCACACAAATCATAAACACACACATCATCATGTGCTATTCTTTCCCAGCACTTCACATTCCCTCAACATAATGGCTTACAAGTAGATAGGTCAGTAATTAATATACCTATAACGATTTATCTATTACACTCTTTGTATCTGTTGGTTTGCTATACACCTTTGATATAAAGATATATCTCACCTCGATCTGTACTAAAATTCAAGCCCACAGCCCCTGAAACTGGATGTTGTATACTGTGGCTATGTTCGGACTGTAATACATATTTGTATGTACATGGTCTTAACTTTTCCAATAAAATTATTTTTGGAAAAAAAAAATGTGGAAAAGAGTGCCAATTTCGTCACCACATCACATGCAGACAGGAGAAAAACACTCGGATTGCGGGCATGGAGAACCTCAGGAGTCTTGTACCAGAACATCAAATCTTTATATGTATGACACCTAGGAAAGAGCTTGGAGCGCGAGCTTGATGTGAGGGCTCCTGGCTCCCAAGCACCTCCAGTGTCCTGCTGAGAAGGGGGGAGAGATGTGCAGGAAGCCCTGGAGAGACTAGTCGGGGAGAAGGGGGGCCTGCCTGGCGTGGACCGAGGACCTCTGGGAGTGGCGGCCATCGTGGCGGGTCTTCCTGTGCTGTTGGCCCGACGCTGTGTGTTCCCCGGAGCTCAGTGGACGCCGGGCGATCAGGTGATCTGCCGCAAAGGGAGCTCTGGGAGGCAGAGGAGCCAGACGGCATTTCTTGGAGCAAGGGAGACGCCGGCTCTCTTCCTCCTGCACACAGGACAGCTGGAGACACGCGGAAATGGGCTGGGTGAACCGAGCTGCCTCACCCCTCACTTGGAGTAAAGGAAGAGATGTCCTAAAGTGCAGGAAAGTCTCTCAGAGAAGTTCAATCTCTATAGAAACCAGAGATCTCACATGGGGGAGAATTATTCCTGTTTCGAGTGCGGGAAACTAGCCTTTACATATATCAGAGATCTAACACAGGTGAAAAGCCATATGTCTGTCCTGAGTGCGGGAAATACTTTTCAGCGAAGCTTAGTCAGAGATCTTACACGGAGGAAAAGTTGCATACCTGTCCAGAGTGCGGGAAATGTTTTTCATGTAAGTCCTATTTTTATATATACCAGTGATAACACAAGAGGGACCATCCATACCCTTGTTCAGAGGGCAGGAAATGTTTTTCACAGAAGTCCAGCCTGCATATATATCAGAGACCTCACATGAGGAAGATGCTGTATCCCTGTTCTAATTGCGGAAAATGTTTTCTCAGATAAGTCTAGACTTTACATATATCAGAGATCTCACACAAGTGAAAAGCCATATGTCTGTCCTGAAAATACTTTTCAGTGAAGCCTAGTCTTCACACACATCAGAGATCTTACACGGAGGAGAAGTTGTATACCTGTTCGGAGTGCGGGAAATGTTTTTCAGAGAAGCCCTTTTCTTCATATATGACAGAGATCTCATACAGGGGAAAAGCCGTATTAGGGATAAGAGGGTGAGTGAGAGCGGCAAAAGTAATGAGATTAATATATTGCATGGGAACTGAACTGTATGTATTGAACTATAGGTTTAAAATGAGGAGGGGTTCACCCAGGGGGTCTTAGAGGAAAATCAGAAGGAGGACAATGTAAAACAGATAAAGACCTAGAAGAAGAGGACCCGGGTAGATCAGTTTGGGAGTGGGGGGAAAGAAAAAGGAAGAAAAGAACTGAGAGGCTCCAGGATACCCATGGAAGACAACAAATGTTGATATCAAATCAAAAATAGACCTCTCCCCAAACCAAAAAAAAACCAGAACTGCGGAAAATTGAAATAGTCCCTGACAGCATGAAAAACGAAGGGAGGAGGGCCTAAGGCTTCCCAAACAGGGTCAATTAAAAAATACATACCCTCACAGGAGAAACAGACTCCAGAGAGACAACAGGGAATAAGTGTAAGAGGTGAGAAGGAAAACATTGGGGAATGTTCCAGACTATCCTTGGGAATAGCTAACAGTAGTCAACATATGGAAGAAGAAGTGGATATGGATAAAGTAGAAGAACAAGGGGAGAGCTCACAGATGCCTACTAAAGCAGAAATAGCAGAAATGTTTAAAGGACTTGAAAGATCCCTAAAACAGGAACTGGCAAAATTACACAAAAATCTGGGGCAAATATTATCAAGGGTGGAGGAGACGGAAGAAAAACCAGATAAACATGCCCAAATTATACAGAAATTAGAAAAAACAGGCAATGGAAATGAGAAAAAGAACAAAGAAATCTGTTATATAAATTGGAAGACCAGGAGAATAGGGATAGGAGATGCAATCTAAGGATACAAAGCTTTCCAGAGATCTCCCAAGGAGAAGATTTGACGGGAATAATAACGAGAATACTGAATACTATAATGGATAGAACTATAACAGAGCCTCTCAAAATGGAGGGAGTATATAGAATAGGAAAATACATACAAGAAGATAGAAAGGAAAAGCCAAGAGATGTAATAGTGCAATTCCATAATTTTCGGGATAAAGAAGAGCTTTGGAAGAAGATAAAAGGAAGAGCAATAATAAAATATGGAGAAATAAATATACAGATCTTTGCTGATTTAGCAGCGGAAACATTAACAAGGAGGAGAACTTTGAAACCCTATATTCCAATATAGTACCGCGGTCCAATAAATTCTGCCACATACATCAATACTATAATACACTCCTATATATTCCACAAGTTATCAAAAAGTGTTCAAAAAATAATAAAATCCTTACATCAATATTAGAATAAATGTGAAAGAGAAAGATAGTATGAAACAGTAGAATATTTCTTTTCTGTGATCACCCAAGTGAATATAATATACAATGTGTCATACTGTATATTATTCCTCCTCTGTGATAAATTAAAAAATGTCCAAACAAAATTACATCTTTAGTGCTAAGATATATGTGGGAAGAAAAATATTTTCCTTTTCTGTAATGTAAGTCACCCCGATGGGTATAGCATTCAATATACCATAAGATATTTCTCCTCTATGTGGGATTAGATGATAATGTTCACACTGAACTGCACCATGGATCTGTGTCAACAGCGTGAACCTCTCTCTCCTCAGCTCAGCCGTTTCAATAGACCTTTCTCAGCTGACTGTTTGGCTTAATCCTCCATATATGGAACATGAAAAGAAGGGAAAAGAAACATAATGTCTTATCCGGGATTAAAGATGGTTTAATGTGCTCTGATTTTCCACTCACATTGTAAAAGATACAATTGCGCTTTGTATAAAATGTATCCAGACCACACTGGGGTCGGCTTCGTAGGTGTGTCTGCCCTCAGTGTGTATACTCGCCGTTCCTCTGTGAATGCATGATGACATCACCGCCCCTCCCCTAGGGGAGGGGCGGGGACGTCATCACGCATCCACAGAGGAACGGCGAGTATACACACTGAGGGCAGACACACCTACGAAGCCGACCCCAGTGTGGTCTGGATACATTTTATACAAAGCGCAATTGTATCTTTTACAATGTGAGTGGAAAATCAGAGCACATTAAACCATCTTTAATCCCGGATAAGACACTATGTTTCTTTTCCCTTCTTTTCATGTTCCATATATGGAGGATTAAGCCAAACAGTCAGCTGAGAAAGGTCTATTGAAACGGCTGAGCTGAGGAGAGAGAGGTTCACGCTGTTGACACAGATCCATGGTGCAGTTCAGTGTGAACATTATCATCTAATCCCACATAGAGGAGAAATATCTTATGGTATATTGAATGCTATACCCATCGGGGTGACTAACATTACATTACAGAAAAGGAAAATATTTTTCTTCCCACATATATCTTAGCACTAAAGATGTAATTTTGTTTGGACATTTTTTAATTTATCACAGAGGAGGAATAATATATGACACATTGTATATTATATTCACTTGGGTGATCACAGAAAAGAAATATTCTACTGTTTCATACTGTCTTTCTCTTTCACATTTATTCTAACATTTATGTAAGGATTTTATTATTTTTTGAACACTTTTTGATAACTTGTGGAATATATAGGAGTGTATTATAGTATTGATGTATGTGGCAGAATTTATTGGAGCGCGGTACTATATTGGAATATAGGGTTAACTGTTACACACCTAGAGAAGGTGTATGAAGTACCTTGCGATCTAATTTAATTATATAACGCACGGAAGTACACTATTTCATTTAAGTAAACACCTTCTAGTGGCTCACAAGTATTAATCAATTTCCAGAGAACTTTGAAACCGTTACTGGAACAGATGAGAAAACAAAATGTTCGATATAGCTGGAGGTTTCCAGCGTGTTTGATCGGATGGAGAAATGGATGTTCAGCAAGACTGAGATTCCCCAAAGATCTGAGAGACTTTTGTGAGAGACTTGATATACAGAAAATAAATATCCCTGGTTGGGAGGAAGAAGAAGGAGAAATGTGGGCTATGGAAAATGAGGTGAGGCAAGTAGCTCTAAGGAGAAATATAGCAGGAATAGTAAAGAGGAATAAGATGGGAGGGAAGGGGGGGGTTCTCTCCCCTTTTCTCTCTCTCTCTCTCTCTCTCTCTCTCTCTCTCTCTCTCTCTCTCCCTCCATTTCTGCCTCTGTCTTATGATCTTTGAAGTTTACTAGAGTATGGAAGGACACAGCGGATGAGACATGCTTATTGGGGAAAAGTTCATGGTCAGAGCTTCACCTTAAAAGCTGAATCAAAGGTGGGGTTAGGACCACAAATGATTCATAGGCAAAATGTAAGCCTAAAGGGAGATGGGGGGGGGGGAGGGGAGGGAGAGGAGTGGGAGGGAGAGGGGAGGAGGGGTGGAGGAGGGACGGGAGGGTGGGTGAGTGGGGAGGAGGGTATGGGGAGAGGATAGGTAGTTTAAGCCTCTGTGAAATAGTGGGAGAAACATCAGTCTGGAGGAATCCTAGAGATCAAAGGGGAAGATGTGGAGGAAAGAGTAAGAGAGAAGAGATGGGGAAGATAGAGGTGTGGAGAGGAGAAGAATGGAAGAGATTCATTTTGTGACTTATAATGTTAAAGGGTTAAATAGCCCTGGGAAGAGATTTGGGAATTTTAAAGAATTTCAACATAGATTTTCTTCAGTGTTTTTTTTTTTACAGGAGACACATTTGGTGCAAGAATCAAATGTGAAATTAAATTCCAGATATTATCCAATGTGGTTTTATGCAGATTCCCCAATTAAATGTGCCAAGGGAGTGGCAATAGGTTTTGCCAAAAATATAAGGTTTAAGCTGGAAGACAGATTGGTAAATCCGGAAGGGAGATTTCTGTTTCTGAAGGGAAAATTACAGGAAATAGACTGTACACTAGCAAATATTTATTGCCCAAAAAAGAAACAGGAGGTATTCCTAAAAAATACTTTGAAGAAGTTAATGGATTTCAAAAAAAGCAATTTAATTGTGGCAGGTGATTTCAATCTCTGTATGGATCCCCAGATGGATATGACGTCACCTGCGCAGAGAGATGGTAGTAGGTCTCTGAAATCCTTGAAAAAAAATGATATATGTTAACTTGTAGATATATGGAGAATTAAGCACATGAAGGACAGAGACTATACATTTCATTCTCATGCACATGAGATGTATTCAAGACTGGATTATATATTGCTGGACCATCGACTTATCGAGTCTCTGGTCAAAGTAAAAATAGAAGTGATGTCAATATCGGACCATGCCCTTGTTACAATGCAATTATTATTGGGAAATGAGCAGATCGGGGGGAAAGTATGGAGGTTAAATGAAACACTTCTCCAGGATTCAGAGGTGGATCAAAGAATAAAAAAAGAAATCGAGGAATTTTTTGAGGAAATGATTCTGGGGAAATGTCCGTAGCAACAGGCCTATATTAGAGGAATCCTGATAGCTATTGGAGCAAAAAAGAAAAGGGAAAGAAGAGAAAAAATAAACACACTTCTTAGTAAATAAAAGAGAAGAATTAAATAAATTTCTGGAAGAAGATAAGAGAAGAGTGCTCAATAAAATGATAAGTGAGACATACAGATGGGGAGATAGGCCAGGAAAGTATTTAATGAGGGCTCAGAGAAAAAAAAAATCTAGGAACTATATAGAGAAAATAAGAGACCACAAAGGAGAATTAATGTATTCAATTAAAGATATAGCTAAAGCGTTTAAAGAATATTATAATAAGCTATATAATATTATCACCCACAGCTCCATAGGTAAAGATGAAGTAGGAAACATAGAAAAAAGACAG